GCTACACTTGGTTCATTTGCAGTAACAAATGGTGAACACTATGTCCCATACTGAGCTAAAGAGCTAGCTCCCTCCAATCAATTCTTCAACGGGGTTCAAAATTTACGTGATTCTTTGTTTCTGCTCTTTGATATCCTCGAGCAGAACATGGACATCAGCAAGAATGCTGATAGCATAAACAGGCTAAAATAGGTTTTTAGCTCCTACTTTCCGAAGTCAATACTCTTCAGAAAATTATGACATTCCTAGGACAAATGGAGGTGCTCACAATGACTTGCATGATCATGCAAGTGTTACTTGCACTTTTTCCCTCTTATTATTCTTCATGTATCATGCAAATGAAAAGCAGAAGTACCTTTTTATATCAGTATTATTGCTCTGCTTGAGAAGTACTAGTACCGATTATAACACAGAGAGCTCCCAGAGGAGTAGATGATTTGGGAAAACAGCAGATTTCAGCAACTAATTTGGTCCTTGAGAAAAAATTGTGATTGACACATCTTAGAAATAGGTTCACATTTAATGTCAAAATTGACTTATCATCAGGACCTGACATGCTCAAGACCCAGCTGCCTCCTGATCAGCTCCACCTCTAGGTTCTCCTCCATCAAATCTATCTCATCAAAAGGAAGCTTCAGATTTAGAGCCTAGGAAATAACATTTCTTGCTTCATCTTTCTTGAACCTGATCAATTGTTGCATTCATCTGTTTTCCAACAAATCGAACACGCAAACTTGAGCATTAAGAATACTAATATAAACATTAGAGCTAATCAACTCTAGACAAGGCACAGAATAAGATCAGATGATGCCCAACAAACTTCATATGGATCTTTAACTCACCAGAATATAGATGAGTATCACAGACTTGATTGATTGTTTTCAGAAATCACAAACCACATGGTATATAAAGAAAAAGAGACGATAAATAATATGCATAGGATACTAGAAATACAATTGGCAGAACAATATAGATGATAAATTATTTTCCATGGAAAACAAATAATTATTTTCATACAATTACCTTTGGTACTAACACAAATAATTAGAATGGATACCTGGGTTTGGTTGATAAATGATTCACAGAATTAAGTGATACAACACTTCAGTAAATGGAACAAAGACTAAAAAGGTTGAAGGTCATATCATCTACATACACCAATGGTTGTTGGGCTTTTCATGTGTACTAGTTGTGTCACCGACATTGGTAAATTGTTCAAACATCAACCTGCTTCATAACTAACATAATTTGGTGATTCTAATTTCCATTTCAGTGATGCTTGTCAGTAAGGTAAATATGCAGGAAATTCAAAGCAGAGCCAGAGCATCATGTTGCACGACCAATCTCCATCACGAATGCTTTCCTGGGTCTCTTGCTGCATAAGGGCTCATATAATTGGGTGCTCATGTCTGCTAGGAAATTAGAATTAGTAGTACCACTCACGTACCTGTAAGTGAAACCATAAATCGAATAGGGCATAGTCTGGGCTTCCGTCAAAGGCGGCTAGTTTACAACAGGGGGTTCGGCAGAGTGACACATCCTTCCAAAGATGAGGCGCCCGATGGTGCCGAGGTAACGAACGCTGTCAAGTTGGCGGCAGAGTGCTGGGCAGTGGAATGGGCAGTCGCCGTGGGCTAGATGGAGGTGGGGGTGTGGTGGCTGGTGGATGACTGGATGTGGAGGCGGCGGCATGGTGGCTGGTGGATGTGGAGGCGGCGGTGTGCTCGCAGGAGATAGTTGCGTGAGGATTTTGTGCGTTGCTTTGGCAATTGATGGGCCTAGGCCTATCCTGATACTATTAGTTTTATTACAGTTTCTTCTAATGATTGTGTCTTGTTGGATCTATGGGACTAATCTTTGTCGTTTGGTCTGAACCGTCGGCTCAATTCATACGCCTCATAAACCAACTAGGAGAAACTACTACAACCTTAAACTAATCATTCTTTCTTTAACACCACACGTGTTAATCAAATAACCTAAAGTTGGATCCCTTTCGTCACACCTCCCCACCAACACTTCAATTCTTGAAGCAGGTCTGGACACAACTGCATCCTATACGAAATGACATGCTCCTTTCCTACACTCCCAATTCTGGCAGTCCCCTTTAACACCTACTCCCTCCGTTTCAAAATATAAGACGTTTTAGCTTTGTGAAGCAAATGTATCTAGATATCTTTAGTGTATAGTTCAGAGTGAACCTAAACATCAAAAGAGTCTAGATACACTCACTTCACAAAGCTAAAACATCTTATATTTTGAAACGGAGGGAGTACTTGTCATTAACTTGTACTACTTGGAGAACACCACGTTAGGTCAAATCCCCGGCATCCTAGGTCTCTTCTTCGCGCTGATGCTCTTCTGGCCAAAGAAAGTAGTGGAAGAAAGTGGCAACACCTCCTTGAATAACCTTGAGGTTGCTAGCTACCGTCGAGATTACTGGTGGTGCGGTGAAGGCTCTCCTGGCTGGCCATGAAGGCAAGGAGGAGAGGTGACATGGATTGATGCGATGTGATGATTTGGATTTTCTGTATTTGACAAAAGGCCATCAAGTGCTAGTGCCTGAGATGTTCCTATGTGTCTAATAGATGATCAAATATGCATTATGTATGTATGTCATAAGTATTCTATTTGTGTAGGGGTGATAACAGCGTAGAAAGGATGAAACAAAAATGTAAAGGATGAAACAAAAATGTAATTTTTGGGATCGGGAACTTATATGTGGAAACGGGAATGTAAACTAAAAGACATTCTGCAAACTCATGAACGTTTTTTCATAGAAATCATCAGGCTTGGTGCATGGGTTATTGGGTAAACCACAAATGTTGACATATTTAAGAATATAAGAGACCAAGTCTTTTCACAGCAAGGGCTTTCTTTAAAGAGGATCTTAGATGGATAATATTTAGGATTAAACAGAATGCTTATGTAATTTTTTTTGATTGGACAGGTAACTTTATTTGACTTCCTATGTTTTCTTTTCTTTTAGATTTGTACATACTTTTTTTGTACATGTGTAAACAAAAAAATAATTAAAAAAATTACCCACTTAACTTTCCATTTTCTGCAAAATACATTATTTTCTGCAAAATAGCCAAACGCACAATTTCTTCTGTCAAATAGGTAACTTTCCATTTTCTGCAAACCCAAGCTATTATCATTGGTGTAGCTCAGTTCGGCATCCGTTGACCAAGCCCAGAACAATAGACGAAGGCCCATATCATTAAGACTAGTTATTGTGGGGAGTGACATAGACTAGTGTCATGCCTATGTTTCTAGTCTATGTTACCACCTTCATAGTGGGTAGTAACTAATGCCTAGTATCATGCAAAGGTCGATTTATTAGGTTGTATACTAATCTTGTTTTGGAGTTTGTGATGTTATATGGTAACATAGCTAGTTATCACAAGATTCTCTTCCTCATTCGTTGACATGCCATGTACTCAAGATATCTTGTTGGCATTACATTGAGTTTTATGTTACTACCTACGTTACTACTTTTATGACTAGTCTAAGTTGATCCATAAATTTGGCACACCTCGGTAATAGGAACGGCTTCTCATTTGAAGTATCTTGGATGCTCCAAGATGACTTTTATGAGACGACACAAATTGAACGGAAGGCATTATAAAAGTTAAACTTTAAAAGATACCATCACTTCTTTTTTTTAATTAAGGAGCATAGCTCCCAATTCCATTACTCGAATGAAACTAGAGATAAACAGGATTACAAACTTAGTTTTTTCATCCACCACACCAGCAAGACACTATTGAACAGAACTTAAATTCCACCTCTTTCTAAACTACCTCTAACAAAATACTACTCCTTACCATGTTATTACAACTATTATCACAACTATTCTTAACTTTCTCTTAGAGACTAGAGCTATTCCAACAACTATCCTTAGACTTTACTTGGCACTAATGATTGCTTCTTCTACTCATCTACCATATTTTTCCTTGGTGTCTTCCAAACTCATATAGCCCTTCAATATCTTCTTTCTTCTAATTCTAAGGTTTCTTGCCACTTGTCCGGATCCAGTCATTTCCGTTGCTTCTTCTACTCTTCTATCCTCTGACTTTTTTTAACTTGGCACTCATGTTTGCTTCTTATACTCTTCTACCATCTTGCTTCTTCTACTCTTCTAACCATCTTTTTGTTTCCTTCTTGTCTTCCAAGCTCAGCCTCCAATATCTTCTTCTTCTATTCCAAGGTTTCGTCATACGCCACTTATCCAGATCTGGTTACTTCCGTTGCTTTTTCTATTCTTCTAGAGTCTCAAGTTTCTAGTATTTTCGTTTTTGTTTGTTCGTTGCTTTGCGTGGCACGAAAGCATAGGGATGCTATTCGGGTGCCAATCCCTGGTGAGACACCAGCAATCGTCCCCAACGGGGATCTATCCCGGGCGGGCTGCCTAGCCACTGCCATGCCAAACCAGAGCTGAGCAACACTTGTCAAGATACCGTCACTTGGAAAGATGGCATCAATATTGTACTAAACCTGGACGCGTAGCGCCCTGGGGACACACGGTAGTTACTACTCCTAACCCGCCGACCACAAGGTGATGTGGTGCTTGAGTGAACAATTAGGTAGGGTCGAAGTGCACGGACTTCAGAACCATGGGTCCAAACAAGGGTTTTTTTTGTAGGTCATCTCTTGTTTAGCCCCTTGAGAAATGCTATTGTCTTGAACATGCATCAAGGGGTGGGTGTCTTGAACATGCATTCGTCGGTGGGGACCGAGATCGTGCACACGATCGAGTCGTAGGGGTGGGAAACTACGTCCACACAGGAGGCTACAACTAGAAGTAGTAACCTCAAACCAAGCCGCAAAAGGAAGCTTCCCTGAACAAAAAAAAAACCCGCAAAAGGAAGCTAGCTACTAGGAAACCATGCGCATGCATCTATATCTATAAGAAGGTACTACGTTTTCTCTACGTAAGGAAGAAGCAAGAAGCAGGTAGCAGCTAGCATACCACACTCGATCGATCATACACATACACCATGCCGGCCGCGCAGCACATCGAACGAGACCAAGACCTCGCCATGAGCAGCGACGAGTTACTTCAAGCTCAGCTGGAGCTCTACCACCACGGCCTCGCCTTCGTCAAGTCACTGGCGCTCAAGGCCGCCACGGACCTGCGCATCCCCGACGCCATCCACCGCCGCGGCGGCGCCGCCACCTTGTCCGAGCTGGCCTCCGACACCGGGATCCACCCCACGAAGCGCTCCAACCTCCGGCGGGTCATGCGGGTGCTCACCACCACCGGGGTATTCTCCATTGTCCAAGGCAAAGGCAGCAACGACCACGCCGGTGATGGCGCTGCGTATTACAAGCTCACGCGGGTCTCCCGGCTCCTTGTCGAGAGATCACCGCACAACCTGTCCCCGATGGTGGGCACCATCGTCAACACGTTATGCTGGACCTCTCTCCTCAAAATGCCCGAGTGGTTTACCCAAGGCCAAGAGGGAGAGTCGGCACAGTCGCACTCGCTCGTCCAGCTGGCCAACGGCTGCACGTTCTGGGACACCACCAAGGTCGATGGCGGCTTGTTCAACGACGGCATGGCCGCGGACAGCCGCATCGCCATGAAGGTCCTGTTGAAGGAGCACGGCGGAGCGTTCGGGGAAGTGAAAAGCTCGCTGGTGGACATCGGCGGCAACCATGGCGCCACCGCGTCGGCCGTGGCGAGAGCGTTCCCGCACCTCAAGTGCAGCGTTCTGGACCTCCCACACGTCGTCGCCGCGGCTCCCGCCAGCGACATTTTGACCTTCGTCGCTGGAAATATGTTCGAGTATGTCCCACCTGCGGATGCTGTTCTACTCAAGGTAATTTTTTATTTTTATTTTTATTTTTGGATATGTTCTTCCTTTTTCTGCTGGTCTACTATGCTAATGGGATATAATATGTATGTTTGGTTCCAGTGGATTTTGCATGACTGGAAACACGAAGATTGCGTCAAGATAATGCGCCGGTGCAAGGAAGCGATCCCAGCGAAAGAAGCCGGAGGAAAGGTGATAATCATCGACATGGTGGTGGGATATCCGGTGACTCAGCCCAACCATTCCAAAGAGGCGCAGGTTTTGTTAGATATCTACATGATGGGCTCCGATGGAATGGAGCGAGAGGAAAACGAGTGGAGCTTGATTTTCTCCGAAGCCGGGTTCAGCGACTACAAGATCACTCCAACCAATGGGATTCGATCAATTATCGAAGTATACCCTTAAATGTTCTTATATACTTCCACTTCGGAGATACTATCTCCTTCCGTCCTTACGTGTTTTATTAGTCTTGCACGTGTAATCAACTTGGTAAATTAGCAGCCAAGATACACGTGGAAGACTTATAAACTGGAAAGGAAGGAGTATTTATTCTGCTCGTCATTTGATTTGTAATAAATGTCACCTGTATTATTGCATTTAAGTTTTACTTTTTGTTTATAGATTTTTCAAATTTGCTTCTCTTTAGTTTATTTCATTTTTTCCGCCCATTGTACCGCACCTATGTAATCTACATAAATTGTTCTTTTCTTTACATACATTAACATTTCTTCTGCAGTTACCAAACATTTACACGTGTATTTGTTCTACTCCCGCTGATCCAAATTATTTGTCGTAGCTATAGAGTCTTTACTCTGCAAGTACATAGTCCGGTCTCAATGAGTTGTTAGCATGAAATAACTATCCCACTTGTCCAAAATGTTGTGAACACCACGGCTTTCTGATTGCATGATAAAATGTGATGACTATTCGGTGGATTTTTCAACGTGTTGGCCACGAATTAATACCCAGCTGATGTGGACAAGGACCCACCTTACAGCCCAATAAAAAAAATCACCTCTCTCACATCCCTTTGACCACCGCCCCTTCTCCGACGAAGTCTCTAGCGAACTCGTCGTTCGCCTCTCCAAACACGAGGACATGCAGCTTGGTTCTCAAGCAGCCTCGCTGACTCGGGCTCCCCAGTAGGCCGGCCACAGTGTGGCTCCGTGGCAGCTCATGCGCGTGTACAAGCGGACCCGTGTACAACCGGAGTAAATAAATATTTCGGTAATTTTGACCCCAATGATTTGTCTTGGCATCACAGTTACTGTTAAACTAACTTTTTTTCACCCAACCCTCCAGTAGCCATCTCTGCATTCGATAACCGGCCCCACCAGTAGTCAATACCACGCGATTTCCTTCACCCAACCCACCAGTAGCCATCTCTGCATTCGATCCGAGCACGGGCCCCGCCATGTTGCACACCGCCCCAACTGCATTGGGATCCTCAGCCAGCCCCACCTCCTGGGACCCGTCCGGTATCCCATCCCCCGGCACGGAGCCTGCAGGCACGCCAGCTGGCGGGTTCAGCCTTTCCCGCACCGGGGGGTCCAGTCTCCCTAGATCCGCGAGAACCACCATGTCCATGTCATCATTCGCCCGTGGGGCACTGCGGGAATCACTCGGGCTGCGCGCGCCAACCACCACTTCGACCGCCCGATCCGATGACAAGCTCAGGCACCGTCCCTGCCCCAACGGCACAATGACCATTTCCATTGGATGCTGCTCCGTCTCCTCCGTCCGGGGTCCCGCCGTCAAAGTGCGCCCGTCCGTCCCAGCCACTTGTCCGCGCCAGTCAGGTTCGAATTTGGCTCTAGAACCGTCCCGCTCCCCTCTCCATGTGCCTGCTGACCCAAAAGGCGGTCAAAAGCAGACACCCTGACGGCAACCCTATCCAGAAGGCGTTCTGGTGGCCCCACATGCAGAACGTTCGGGGCGGGGGCATGGGAGGTAGGCGCCAATCCAGCCCCTCGTTTGCCCTCCCTGCCGCGCCATGGCCGCCACCGCCACCGCCGGAAGCCTAGCCCTGCTCACCGCCGCGCACATCTCTGACACCGAACTGCCAAACTCGCCATTGTGGCCTCTGACCACCACCTCCATCATGGAAACCGTCCGGAGAGTCTAGCAAGCCACTCTGCCCACTGTCGGATGAACTTCCCACGAACCACGGCTCCCCTGCTTCACAAAAGTTCGCCACTGCGTCGATGTGGATGAGGATCTTGTACTGCAACAATGGTGGTAGGATCTCCGAGCTTGGCTCCGAGATGGCCAGCCAGCACAGCGAAGGTATCTCCTCCGGGTTTGCAGTCCATGCAGTGAGCCTGAACGTAGAAAGATCAGCTCTTGAACTTGACTCCGGCGCAACCGAGTCCACCTTGCATGCCGTCCCCAACAACTCCTCTGCCGTCTTCCGATCCCAAGCGTGTGGTGGTATCCCCTCCATGACAATCCAGACCTTGAAGCCCATGGTCGAGAAGACTGCCTGCGACTGCCGGTTCCATGGCCTGAAGAACAGCCTATCGCCCTCCCACTACACCGCCGGGTACGACGCCACCCTGTTCCGAAGCTCAGCCGACGCAAAAACGACCAGAAAATCCTCCGACCGGTAAGAGTGCACCGAGACATGATCCGCCGAGATGTCGAGCCACCCCGCCAAGATCTCCAGCACCCGCTGCGGCGAGAGGCGTCTCCGGGCACCACCCACGTAGGCGACCATGGCGAAGCGTAGCCGGCGCTCCAAGTCCTCCATGGACTGCGAGCGCCGCACCACACAAAGCTCATACGCACCTTCCCCCGCATCCAGCGCGACCTGGAGCCGCGGGGGTGCAAGACGCGGCCAGGCCGCCTCGGCGGCAGCACAAAGCGAGGGGGGGTGCAGCGGCGGAGGCGGTGGGGGTGGGAAGGCCGCATGAGGCGCCGTGTGGTCTGGACTGACCCGGGGAGACGAGTGGCGTGCCACCTTGGCGATCGCCTCGCGTTGGAGCTCATCAGCCGAAGAGGGGCTCCGCGGCCTCTTGCAATCGCGGGAGCCATGACCCGGCCAACCGCACCTGATATAGACCTCCTGGTTGGTGCAGTCCCACCGGAAGTGGCCCTTCTCGAGGCACCTGAAGCACTTGTCTCGCATCTCCGAGATCATCTCCGCCGGCGGCGGCGAAGGCACGTGCCGCCCAGCCGCAACATCTCCGCCCTGGCCGCCCTGTCCATGACGGAGGCGCCAGAGCTCCTTCTTGGTGGGAGAAGGCCGCTCCCAGCTCCTTCTTGGTGGGAGGAGGCCGCTCCCAGCCTGCAGCAGGAGCCTCCAGGCGAGGCGCGGAGTCCACCGCCGGCTGCGGGTCCGACTCAGCCAAGCCCTCCGAAAGCCCCAGCCCAGAGACCACCGGCCTCTCCCCCGCCGGCCTGACCTGGGAGGAGATGGATCTGGGGCTGGCAGCCCTGGTCGCGCGAGGAAGCAGCGGGGGGCGTGGGAACAGATCTGGGTGGCCGGGACGGCCTTAGTGGCACGGCCGGGAGCCTGGGTGGCTGGGATGGCCGGAGTGGCACGGCCCGGGGGCGCAGAGGCGCGGTGGACGCCAGCGCCGGAGTAGCGCATGGCGGGGAAGGGGGAAGGCTCTCGCTCTCGCTGGCTGCAATGTAACACCTGCTGCCAGTTAAGTGTTACTGTTAAACTAACTAATTGTATAATTAACTCGGTTGCTTAGCTCTTTCCGTTAGATCGGTCTATTATTGCAATAATTGCCTAGAGAATGAAGCTTAACATAGTATTAGAGCCAGAGTCTTGATGGTTTTCACAATTTATTCCTTTCTTATCTATCTACGTTAAACTATACAAGTTGGACCGAATAAATAAAGCAACTAAAACTTAATTCCTATAGTGGAAAATCAGTATCGTTGGTTTACTATTGAAACACACCCTCTCATAATACTAATTTTACACTAACATTTTATATATATTTAAAATAAATCTTTGTAATAAAACAGTAAAAAATTTATCTTTTGGTACGGAGGTAGACAGGGCACCGTGTTCCACGAGGGCCCGTATCGTTTTTTTTCGTGGAACACGCGGTCTGCTCCTCGTGACCCACAGGACGCTACAGTAGTAAGACAGGTCGTAATGGAGAGTATCATATACTAGTATCATGCATATGATACTCGTGTATGATACTATTTCCGTAATGCATAGTATCGTAACCTAGTATCTTAGTTTGCCTCATTAATTGTTATGCATGACACAAAGTAGTACTATATTTAATATGATACGGTATCATAATATGATACCACATCCTTTCTTTCCTCATTTAATTCTCTGCCACATGATCCAAAAAGTCTATTTGACATGTATGATACCGCTTATGATACTTTCATTACAACTATCCTAAACTGCACCGTGCACAGAGAGAGAAAGGAAGTAAAGGACCATTATTATTATTCATGCCAGCATAGCCAACCACTACGGCGCACGCAAAGTTTGACCAGTCGGATTGGATTGGTAGGCACTGTATCAAGCATGCAAAGACCATAGGATTGGATTGGATTGGATTGGATTGAATTGGATTATTATTATCGAGATGCATGCAGACAGTAGGCTCAAAAACCTCCACAGCCCACATGCAGCAGCACCAAGCATGCAAAGACCATACTACTAGCGCTGTTTTAGCATATTATTATTCCTTACGTGTGCGTATTTGTGAACGTATGTGTTGTAGTATTGGGTTTCGCAAAAGTAGTCCTTACGAGAAGAAACCAAAAGTAGTCTATAGTCGGCAAATAGATCTGGCCACGGTGCATTTGTTTTTTTTTTGTGAATTTTTTTCATTCAAATCACGAAACAGTACAAAGTAGTTGATCCTTACAAGCACACTGAAACGTAAACACAAAGGACGATGAACAATTAGAGTACCCTAAGCCAAACATAACACAAGAAGAGCTGTGGAGCCTTTTGACATCATCCCTGAATCTTGAGAGAAGACCCCTCAAGCAGAAGGATCCGCAACCAGGCGCAAGCAGGTCATCATCTTCGACCACGGTACAATTGCCGCCACGCTACTTTCTCCTTTCTTGACACCAGCGCTGAGAGGGCATGGGCATCAATCCAACACACCTGCAACAGCCGTCGCCAGCTTTGGCTTTGAGTACCGCGAAAAATGTCCCTTCCTGATGGAAGAGAATTCGAGTCATCCGACCGGTCCAGCACCGCGGCCGGGCCATCCACCCGGGCAAAGCAGAATCTCCCTCCAGCATCAGCGCAGAGGAAGGAGAAGAACAGCCGCAACAAATCATACCGACAAGGAAGAAGAAGGGTCTTCGTCTCTGTTGAAGGGAGAGAGAGGGTTGGTGGAATAGTTCAATGTATTGCTTGAGCCTCGTGGGCATATATATAGGAGTAGATGATCTACTTGGAGTAC